GTCTGCGACGGTTTATCAAGTGCGATATTCGCCTCGATCGACCCCGCCTTCGCAAGAAGTTCAGAGACTATCACAACCCACGAATCGCCATAGTAGAGCAGAAGAACTACGATCCTCCAGTCGTTTGTCTCTTCTCGCGGGCCTTTCCACACCTCTCAATCGTCCTTTCTCCGGTCACGATAGAGTTATAGACTTCGCATCTAGACGCTTTAGACGTTCAAGAATCGCGAGTTTTCTCCCCACACGAATATCTCAACAAACACCCTCCCGATCGACATAATACCAACCGTCATAATGTCTTCCGAGAACGCCCAGTCCGTCAAGGTTTTGGACGAGCTTTTCCAGAAGCTCACCGTCTCCAAGGAGGCTGCCGACATCAAGGAGTCCTCCAGCTCCTTGGCTTCCTTCATGAACGGCCGCATTGAGGATCAGGATGTTCCCACCAAGTAAGTTGTCACTACTGTCATATTCACTGCCAGCTACACCGCAACGCTGCCTTGAGGGGGAGTGAGATTTTGCCTCAAGCGACCGTGTCCACGGCCTTGGGAATTTCTCCAAAAAAAAAAAAAACGGGATTATTTTTTTTTCTTGTTCCCCTCGCCTCTTCGGGCGGCTTTTGCACCGACCCGCTGCGACGCTGAGCGACCAGCCACGCTGGCCACTCAGCGGCGAGTTATTTTCGGCTCACACACTTTTTTTTTTCTGGAGCATCAGCGCTGACAAGGATTTTCCCCGCAGGACCATCGAGTCTATCCGCAAGCTGTTCAACAACAAGAAGGATGCCGCTGCCCGTGAGAAGGCCGCTGTCGCCATCACCGCCATTGCTCAGCACTCCGAGGTCTCCGCTCACGTCGAGCCCCTCCTCGTCGCTCTCCTCCCCGATGTCCTTGCCGCCGCTGGTGACAAGATCACCGGTGTGAAGAACGCCGCCACCGCCGCTGCTCTTGCCATCGCTGAGGCCATCAACCCCAACGCCGTCAAGGGTGTCTTCGCCCCTGTCAAGAAGTCCCTCCTCGAGGCCCAGAAGTGGCAGGAGAAGATGGCTGCTCTCGATGTCCTCGAGACCGTCATCCGCACCGCCCCCGCCCAGGTCGGCTACCGCGTTCCCGACTTGATCCCCGTCGTCTCCGAGTCCATGTGGGACACCAAGAAGGAGGTCAAGGAGCGTGCCTACAAGACCATGGAGGCCATCTGCCAGCTCATTGTCAACCGTGATATCGAGCGCTTCATTCCCGAGCTTATCAAGTGTATCGCCAAGCCCGAGAACGTCCCCGAGACCGTTCACTTGCTCGGTGCCACCACCTTCGTCACTGAGGTCCAGGAGCCCACTCTTGCCCTCATGGTTCCTCTGCTTGACCGTGGTCTTGCCGAGCGTGAGACTGCCATCAAGCGTAAGTCCGCCGTCATTGTCGACAACATGTGCAAGCTTGTCGACGACCCGAACATTGTCGCTCCCTTCTTGCCCAAGATGATGCCTGGTCTCCAGAAGAACTACGACAACTTGGCCGACCCCGAGGCCCGTGAGAAGACCAAGCAGGCCCTCGACACCATCACCCGTGTCGGTAACGTCGTTGACGGCAAGATCCCCGAGGTCCGCCACGACTCCGACTTGGAGGTTGTCCTCCCCAAGCTCAAGGAGTCTATCCCCTCCAAGTCCAAGGCCAAGGCCGATAAGCTCGACGTTGTCCTCCAGTACGCCTCCAACATCGCCGGTCAGCTCATCGACGAGAAGGAGATGGAGTCCGCCGTCTGGACTGAGGCCCTCAAGCCCTACATCTCCGTCATCGTTGGCGACGAGGATGCCCAGAAGGTCGTCGACGACTTCCGCAAGCGCGCCGCTCCCGGTGCCGCCGAGGAGGAGGAGGTCGACCCCGATGATGAGGAGGGTGAGGATCTTTGCAACTGCACCTTCTCCCTTGCCTACGGTGCCAAGATTCTTCTCAACCAGACTCACCTCCGTCTCAAGCGTGGCCAGCGCTACGGTCTTTGCGGTCCCAACGGTTCCGGAAAGTCTACTCTCATGCGTGCCATCAACAACGAGCAGGTCGAGGGTTTCCCCAAGCAGTCCGAGGTCAAGACCGTCTTCGTCGAGCACGACCTGGACTCTGCTGACACTGAGATGACCACCATTGAGTGGACCATGAAGAAGCTTGCCGATGCTGGTGTCGAGACCTCCCAGGCCGATGTCGAGGCTAAGCTCAACGAGTTCGGCTTCACCGATGCCATGGTCAAGGGTGAGATCTCTGCCCTGTCTGGTGGTTGGAAGATGAAGTTGGCTCTTTGCCGTGCCGTCTTCGAGGCTCCTGATATCCTGCTTCTCGACGAGCCTACCAACCACTTGGACGTGAAGAACGTCAAGTGGCTCGAGGACTACCTCATGAACTCCCCCTGCACTTCCATCATCGTCTCCCACGACTCTGGCTTCCTCGACAACGTCTGCCAGCACATCGTCCACTACGAGCGCTTCAAGCTTAAACGCTACCGCGGTAACCTCAAGGAGTTCGTCAAGAAGAACCCTGCCGCCAAGTCCTACTACGAGCTCTCCGACTCCGAGATGGAGTTCTCTTTCCCCGAGCCCGGTTTCCTCGAGGGTGTCAAGACCAAGGCCAAGGCCATTCTTCGTGCCAGCAAGATGTCCTTCCAGTACCCCGGTACCACCAAGCCCCAGATCTCCGACATCTCCTTCCAGTGCTCTCTCGGCTCCCGTATCGCTGTCATTGGTCCCAACGGTGCCGGAAAGTCCACCCTCATCAACGTCCTTACTGGTGAACTTATCCCCACCGTTGGTGAGATCTACCAGCACGAGAACATCCGTATCGCCTACATCAAGCAGCACGCTTTCGCCCACATCGATAACCACTTGGACAGCACCCCCTCCGAGTACATCCAGTGGCGTTTCCAGACTGGTGAGGATCGCGAGACCATGGATCGCGCCAACAAGATCATCACCGACGCTGATGAGGAGGCCATGAACAAGATCTTCAAGATCGAGGGTACCCAGCGCCGCATCATCGGCATCAACTCCCGCAGAAAGTTCAAGAACTCCTACGAGTACGAGTGCTCTTTCGCCATCGGTGACAACGTCGGCCAGAAGAACGAGCGCTGGACTCCCATGATGTCCGCTGACAACGTCTGGCTTCCCCGTAACGAGCTTCTGGCTTCTCACCAGAAGATGGTCGCCGATGTCGATATGAAGGAGGCCCTCGCCTCCGGTCAGTTCCGCCCTCTGGTCCGTAAGGAGATTGAGTCTCACTGCGCCAACTTCGGTCTCGATGCTGAGCTGGTTTCTCACTCTCGCATGCGTGGTCTGTCCGGTGGTCAGCGTGTCAAGGTCGTCCTTGCTGCCTGCTCTTGGCAACGCCCCCACTTGATCGTCCTTGACGAGCCCACCAACTACCTCGACCGTGACTCTCTCGGTGCCCTGTCCAAGGCCCTGAAGAAGTTCGAGGGTGGTGTCATCATCATTACCCACTCTGCTGAGTTCACCAAGAACATCACTGAGGAGGTCTGGGCTGTCGTTGACGGTAAGATGACTCCTTCCGGTCACAACTGGGTCCAGGGCCAGGGCTCTGGTCCCCGTCTTAAGGGTGATGAGGGTGAGGAGGAGGAGAAGTTCGACGCCATGGGCAACAAGATCGTCAACACCAAGAAGAAGGTCAAGTTGTCCTCTTCCGAGCTCCGCAAGAAGAAGAAGGGTAAGTCTATTCCATCCATTACATGAAGCATCACCTACGTACAGAATGCTAACATCTCTCCTTCAGACCGTATGGCCCGCCGCAAGCGTGGTGAGGAGGTTTTCTCCGACGAGGACGACATCTAAACCAGTCGCCACGAGATCGCTTTCCTTTCCATTTGTCACGAGCCTTACAAAAGTCTTTTTTCGGTAACGCGGGTTGCATGGGTACGGGCCTGTTTATGATTTCTTTGACGAGCACCCATGAGATTCCCCTTGAAATGACATCGCCGGATGAAGGAATGACCATCTCGCTGTAGGATTGGAGGATCCCGCGCGCGAGTGTGAGAGAGGTTCCTGGCGACAGGGAATGAGGGGGTAAGAATAAGAGAGTAGAAAGAGTAAATAGACGGCAATACAAGCCATAGACACTTCAACTTTTGTTTCCTCATTGATGTATGCAACGTGATGTTTCGATTCTATTCTCCACAAGATGGAATCTTTGTGCCTCGGTAGTGTTTGGCTGCGATTTCCGACTGAGGTAGCCAAGACCATAGTCCAGCACCTATGTGGACCGTCTTACCTGACCGACTTCCGAGGTTGAACATCAACCTGACGCTTTGGTCATTTCCAGGCCAGGCCATGGTCTTGTGTTTGTGGTCATTGTGCTATTGTACTCGAGTGACCGGGGGATGATACTTGGACAACACCCCGGGACACGTGTACTACCAATCGTGCCTTTGTCTCAACTCCCGCAAATGTGAGTCTCCCTTCCAACTTCCCGCGCATTGACGCTCAACCAGAAATGCTGCATCTATTGACCAGTAATTGTAGATTCCTTTGTCACCATTCTATGCAGGTTCTCTCTGGTCGATCGATAGTCCAAGGGGCTTCAAGTCTCACTAGAGATAGTTGAGCCTCCAACAAACGTATCTGAATGTCCGAGGTCAGATTGTTTCTTTGAGGGATCTTTGGAGGGATGAAGGTTGGATGCGTCTGCATGTGAAGTCAAAGGGCTAGCTGTGCTGATTGTGCTCGACATTGTGCTAAGTTGAGAGAGAGAGAGAGAGAGTTGCCGAGGACTACTATTCCTGTCTCGCTTGGTTTCGAGGTCAACTCCAGGTCTTCGGGGAGACAACGTCAAAGACACCAAACTGTCTTCTTGTTCTCCCATCCGTCATGACTCCCTCGTCTCTCGTTATCTTCTTTCTCTTCATTATCCAGTTTCCTCTAGGAAACCCCTCTTTATCTAGATTACCCACACGTCTCGTCAAGCCATCCACCGTCCGTCCCAAATAACGAAACTATCACAGGTGAGGCCATCACCATGGCCGCCTCCCCAGACAAGGACCTCACCCAAGAAACAATCTACGACGAAGAATGGTGGGTAAAAAACACCCGCGAACACCCAGACAGCCCCATCACCGTCCCCCTCTCCCCATCACCACAACCAACCTCTGGAGACTCAGACAACACCGACACCTCCGACCACACAGACACCTCCAACATCTCCATCCCCGCCACGGCAATCCACACCCACGACACAACCGCCGCGACCATCACATCCCTCCGGCCGCCCGGGAACCCCCACGCACCCTTATTCCTCGGCGCACCGCCCGTGAAGCCGGCAAATAAAGGCCAATGGGCTTACGTGGAGTACATCCCCGCCTGGACGGATCCCCTCTGGAAAGACGGCGATTCACGCGTACAGGACGAGAAGGACCCGGCGTATGTGGTGCGCAAGCGCGACTGGACGAAGAGCATTCGTCCGGCGCAGCTGCCGCAGGATAGGGCGCAGAATCCGAGCGCGTTTGCGTTGCGGTACGGGGTGTATCCTGATCGACTGGATGGTAGGTCGCGGTTGACGCCTACGAGGGGTGCGTTTCGCAGGTTCAAGTATGATGGGGTTGAGGTTCCTGGTGTGACGGCGGAGGTTGTGATTAAGCAGGCGGAGGGGTTTGCGCAGACGGCTGGGTTGGTTGGGGTGGATGGGTTGTTGGAGGTGTATTCTGGGATGAGGGGGGGTGGTGGGAACGAGAATGAGAGGTTTGTGTTGAGGGCGTTGGAGGGGATGAGGGATGACGAGGATTTGCAGATGATGATGTTTCGGGGGATGACTTCGCATGAGGTATGTTGATATTGCGTTTGTGAGCGTGTTTATGACGATGAGTTGAGATTGATGAGGAAGTGTAGTTGATTGAGGGGGGGATGATGTCGATGAGGAATGGGAATGCGTGTGATTTGGAGAATGATCTTCATAAGTAAGTTCTGGGACGCTAGCCCCTATCTTCTCGATGTTATCTCAGCTGACCTGTTTGGATGGATGAAGGTATCTCACCAGAGACAAGTGGGTTGAAAGCACATGGCGAGGATGCGACCCCGACAAACCAAGACTCGTCTACCAATCCGGCCAAGTAAAAGGAGAATGGGACCCAAGAGTGAGAAACGATATATCTCCTTTCAAATTACGTTCGCACATATAAATACAAGTATAGAGCTAACACATATCAAGACCAACGACTACCTCTGGGAAAAAATGCAACCAGCCCTCCTCCTAGCCTCGCGCATCCTAACCCACCTCGACAAAAACGATCCCTACTGGCGCCGCCTCCACGACGTCCTCAACCGCCAAACCATCGACGGACCCCACGACTACCGCACTCCCGAGATGCGCAAGAAGAATCCGGCCGTGAAGTTCACCCTGCAAGATTACGACGGCGGCGGGCAAAACGCCATCGTTGACGACGAGACTCGCAAGGACATGTTTGACGTCCACTTCGAGGTTCTCCACGTTCTGCAGACGAGGATGCGGTTCATGCTATGTAGCGGATCTAAGGAGGAGGATAGTGGGACGGCGGGCGTGACGTGTGTTGCGGGTTCATATATCGATGTGTATATTGTCGCCGACGCGTTGTGGCCGTTGGTTGTGCCTGGGTATAGTGATGATGAGAGGTTGTTGCAGGGGTTCTTTTTGGCTTCTACTATTGTTCACGAGATTGCCGTGAGTCTTGGCTTCTGTCAGAAACTCGTGCAGAGACTATTCATCATAGATTTGGCTGACGTTGATGTGGGTAGCATGCGGTCAACTATGCGCAACATCTCGTTCTTTTGCCGCCGGCCTGCTTTGAAGTAGAGACCTGGAAAGCTACCCCGGACAAGGTCAAGAAAGTTTCAGAGATTGGGTCAAAGATGTTTTCCAAATTTTCGGAGGGCCACCTTGAGCCGTTCTTCGAGGATGAGTCGCAGGCTGAGCTGGGTTTTTGTACCGAGAACCGGGTGAGTTGACTCTATTTGTCTTCGTTTCCTCTACCTCCTTTGCAACTACCACTACCCCCTTGTGACTCAGAAGCAATGGTTATGTAGACAGTTACAAACCACACTGACACATCACCAACTACCTATTAGCTCTTCGGTGGCGTTCACTGGAACATCATTTCCCCCGAACTGCCCCATCTCTTCTTTCTGCCTGCCGCCATGGCAATGGAGAGGTGGCCACGGCCCAAAGGCGATTGCGGGCGTCTCCCCGTCGAAAAGCTCGAAAAGAGCCCGGACAGACTCGTTCTCGACCACATACCGCTGCTCCCGGACCAATACTTCTCCCCCACCCGCGTCGCCCACATCGTACGCCTCTTCACCGAAGCCTTCTGGAACGTCGAGGTGAACAAGTACGGCCCCGCGGCGCTGCGCTTCGGCGGCTTGGACCCGGTCAAGCTCCCCATCATCTGGCCGCGCATCCAGCTAAGCGCCGCGCTGAGAGGTGTACTGGCGCCGAGGGGCGATCGGGCCCTGGAACTGCTGCCGAAAAGCGACTCGGAGGAGATGCTTGAAGCTGGCCCGACGCTGCAGCGTTTCTTGTACCAGGCCGGGACGGAGTTTCTGAGGCCGCATGTGGTGCGGTACCGGTGGGAGAGAGACCACAAACACTTTGTTTACTCACGGAACGGACCTATGGTCACACACATGTTTCAGTTGGCTGTCATCGTGATTGAGACCCAAATTGCGTACAATTTGCGGCAAGGTACCGAGGATGTTGATAATAGGATAAAGAGCAGAGCGTGGCTGAAGAGCTGGAAGAAAGCTGAGACTCGAAGATGGGGTTTGATGCTCGACAGGAGTTTACAACATTCGCGATCGTCATTAAATGGCAAGCTATGCCCTTTGCCACATCGATCGGTTCATCCGCTCCAAGATGAGGATTATTTCTGGCAAAACATCCCCGACCTAGGGACGAGAGCGGGCCAGAGGACAGCGGAAGTACTACGGCGGATATACGAGGTGATCATCTTCGAGATCGGGTGCTTTCAGCAGATATTTATCGACATTTACCACCTCGATGACGCAGAGCTCGAAGCGTTCCAGACGACGGACGCACCCAAGGACCTGAACTATCGCCTCACGGTTACAACCGATCTGGGAGCGGAGGCACTGAGACAGGCCACGAGACTTGTGGCAGACTACGGCGGGACCGGCTTCATACCCGCCGTCAACATGGCGGTTCTTCATGACTTTGTGGGGAAATTCACCAACATGAGGGCGCAGCTCGAGGAGATGAGGCCTTGGGCTGAGAATCTTTCCGAGATCAATCCTTCAAACTATAACCTCCTGCAACCCATCATACCGCGGCTCAAGATCGCGCGGCGGCCGGCGACGGCGAGGATGGTCAAGCTTGTGCAAAAGGAGCTTGAGATGCTTCCTGCGGAGACTTTGGTTGTCATTGAGAAGTTTCTCAGCTTTGTGAAGACGACGGTGAAGGCTGCGGGCCAAGTCAAAATTGATTTGGCGAGGGATTGGGAGATGGATCTGGATGAGGTGGTTGCCGAGTTCGAAAAGAGGGATAAGCTTGATCAGCCTGGCTTGGTGGAACATGTTACTGACGAGGAAGACCTCGAGGATGGCCTTGCAAGCAACGATCCGCTTACTGAAATCATCAGGAAGAGGAAGCCCAAGAACCCCTGGAATGGAGCAAATCACCCTCCAAAACGACTCAAAAGACCCAGGATTGCGGCACCGCAGCTTGTTCCACAGCCCCTGTCGCATCCTACGCCCTTTTCAAAGTACTCTCCGCCCAGGCATAGGTTCGGGGACACTATCAAAGCCAGCCGCTTCTCCAGACGCAACATAGTCAACGCCGTCCCGGACCCGATGTCCAAGATCCCAAACGTATTCGCCAACATCCCAGACATATCCTTCCCTCTATCGCAATCTTCTTCCGGGTTCGCGGGATATGGTCCAGGCAAGCAGCAGCCGCCGCCACAGCTCCCCACTCATGCTTCTGTATTCGGCAGACCTGGGATCCAGATCGCAGAGGGCCCCGAGCCGATGGGCATATTCCCCCACGCGTATGCCTTATCGGCATCCTTCACGGAGGACCTCGAGCACGAGGCTAGGGCCCGACTTATGCTCGCGCAGCAGAGTCCCGCTAACTCTGCGCTGGGGTTCAGGGAGAGACACGGAGCGACCCTGGCCAACGCATATCGTGATCCTGCGCCCCCAATACCGGACTCCCCTGAAAAGCACAATAGCGGCGCCGCCTCCGGGTTTGGATTCGGTGGTGGGTATCGACGGCGAAGAATCCCGGATCCGCAGGATCATTCGCCGACTACGGAGGAAGTATCCAGCTTATCAAGTTACCCGGGTTCGACTCCGGGAAAAGTGAACAGGGGGAAGGGGGCGGCGGGACCTGGGGACGTAGATGCTGCAGATGAAGACGAGAGATGGGGGACAACTAGCACAAACAGGGCCAGCGCGCTCAATATGCAGCGAGAACTAGATATGAAGCAAGGGTTGAAGGAGCATATTGACGAGCAAAAGCGGCAGCAGCGGGAGTGGCTGAATAGTCTTGCAAGACAGCAGGCGCCGGCCGGTATGTTGGAGATGGATATGAGGCCCGACTATAGTACAGGACCTTTAGGAGGAGGATCAAGTGCTAGTATCGGCGGGTCGGATGAAGGAAGCAGCCAGAGGCCATCTACTGCTTCTTATCGGCAGGAGGCAAGGTCTTTGCCGAACGAGATGGACTGGGTGCCTGGTTGAGGATCACTTGTTCAATCAAGCCCACCCTTTGAAGCAGGGGAAACAAAGTCTTCTTTGCCAGATAAGCTAAGTCAGGAATGGTGAATCGAATATGTCGATATGATTTGGATGAAGGAGTTAAGGAGTCCATGTGGAGGTAACGGCTTGTTTTCTATTTTTCTCATTTGGCAAGCAGGCATACTTGAATGGGACTTGAAACTCAATGAAGCTTTCCTGAGACATGCGTCTTGCTTAGGTTTCCCAGGCTCATTGATGAAATGATTATGTGATCTCATGTGTGCAATCTCCACCGCCAAATACTATATGCGTATTCGTCAACTCGAACCCTGAGGTATCACAAGACAAGGTGGGACCTGGAGGATAGTCCATAACCTAATTCATCTCATCTGTTCTCAACAGCAGTAAAAGGGACTCCTGTCCAGAAGCTTAAGATGTTTATACCCCTAATCCTGAAGTGCAGAGCTATCGAGCTGTAGCTTATGGGTTCGAATCCCACAAGCGCCCTTCATGTTTCGTGTTTTTGTTTTACTTCTCTCTTTTTTTTCTTCCCTGCTTGAGGCCATAGTACCTCGCTCTTGATAAAGTCACATGAGGATACTGGAAACCACCACTCGCTTAAGGATTCACTACCTTCTCCTCTATGCAAATGCCACGTATCAACACACCTCACTCCATCTTCATATCGCGTCAATATCAATCTCCGGCGTCTCCCTTCTCCTAAACAATAACTTCGCCGTACTATCCGAGTTCCACGCAAACCCCCACTCCTGCCACTGATGCTCATACCCAGGCGTCAACTTCCAGTCAAACTTCATCAGCAAATGCGCCAGCGCAATCTTGAGCTCGTTGCCGGCGAAGAAGCGACCCGGGCACGCGTGCTGGCCATGGCCGAAACCGAGGTGTGAGGGCGATGTGCTGACGAGGTGGGCTTGGCTGTCAAGCTTCAGGTCGCCGCGCATCTCGAGGAAGCGATAGCCGTTGAAGGCTTCGGGGTTCGGGTAGATGGAGGGATCGTGCATCTTGCCTAGGTCGCCGACGCAGCGTTCTCCTTTTTGGAGTTTGAGGCCGTTGGGGAGGGTCACTTGGCGGGTTGCCATGCGGGCCATGATTGCTGGTTGGTATGGTGAGCGACGGGTGCTTGGAGGATATTTTCCTGTTGTCACAGGAAATAAAAGGAGAGACTTACCAGATGTGACTGGCTTTAGTCGTTGTGACTCTTTCAAGACGCTGTCCATGAGTTTCATATTGAAAAGAGCCGTCTTCTTCCAACCTTCAGCGGTCAGAACTTCAACAACTTCCTTCCTAAGGGCATCAAATAACTCCGGGTTCTCTGCAATGCGTAGCATCGTCTCCACGAGTAGATCCGTGGTGGTATGAATTGCAACGACCGACAGACCCAGCTGCGCGCCAACAACATCGTACGCCCGGCCCTGACTCTCCTCTTCAAACCAATCAATACCATCATTAAACTTCGGCGCCGGCTCGCCCCTCTCAATAGCCCGCTGTCGCGCATCTCTACGTTTTTGAAGCACCGGCTCAATGATGTCTCGAGAATCAGATACCTGCCGTCTAAGAGTCTTGCACTCAGGGAGAAACAAGTTGGCGGCGTAACGCAGCCAGCATGGGTAGGGACGCAGGATCTCGGCGCCGAGGAATGCATTCACGGTGTAGGACTTTGTTATAGCGAGCCAGGCTTCGTCGCGGCATACTTCATCTCCGAGGAAAACGCGGGAGGAAAGGCGGCAGATGAGGTCGAGAATGGTGTCTTTGGTATTGTACTCTTGCCAATCTACATAGAGCAGTCATAAGCGTGTTAGCAATGTGAACAGATGGCAAACGGTTACTCTGCAGTTGGCGTGACAAGAAACCTACCGGTGGGCTTGCCGAAGATGTGATCGACAGCAAATCTGGTTTCCGACGCAAGAGGCTCCGTGATTTGATCTGCATCATCGTGTAAGTATTGTGATGGTGTGTTGCTGTAACGTGGGGTCTCAATGTGGGGTGTGGGGTAAGAAGAGGGCAACTTCGTGATGGAGAGCGAAAACCTACTGAGTAATTTGGTGATGCGCTTTTTGATGACAAGCTGAAAAAGTCCGTCCGGTCTGTTGCCAACCGCGAACCCTTCGAATCCATTCAGTTGAGGGTGGAAGTTGTCTGCGAAAGCCTTTGAAAAGCTCAACCCTGGCTCATTGCGAATATCGTGAACTAGATCCGGCGGAATGACAACTGTTTCACCAACGTCCGTCATAAGTCTGTAAGGCTGGCCGGGAAATTGAGTTCGGGCGTCTTCCATGATACGACGAGCATTCATCAAGAAACCCTTCTTCCGTTCTTGGTTGAAGAAATCGAATAGTCGCCCCGGGTTGACGGAGGGGAGTTTGCGAGAAGGCTTGCGAATGTGGGGTATTATCGTGAAGACGCTGATGAGGATAATGCCGAGACATAGTGATGTCCATAAATCCATTTTACGTATGAGTGATGAATCGTCGGCCCATGAGCTGATAAGATGTTTGGGGGTTGTTATGGCCTCCATTTTGGCAGTTCAAGGTGGGTGAAGGTATGAAGCAAAAACTGATAGACCAAGCTTGGAGATGGTGAAAGGTGTAAGTGCGTCTACCATCAACTTATATACTCTGCCCGGTCTCAGAGGGGGCAACTCGGCGGTGAACAACTAATCATCGTCGATTTCACTATTACACGAGAAATTTGGTATCATAAGTCAAGAATTACTCCAAACCATCTCCACGTTGACGTTGTTTCTAGCATATCACGGTGCTAAATCGCTGCCCGCCGGCCAACACTCCCGTCGTTGCAACTCTGCGCGACCCGCCGCCAACCCTGTCCGTAGCCGTCTCAGACGAATCAGCGGCGCTTACAACTGGGGACCGCGTCTCTTAAGTTCCGAGTCATGCAGATCATTGTAGCAAGCTTCGGAAGCAGACAAGTGCCCGACAGCGGGACGGGTGGATCTCTAAAATCTGGGATAGTTTTTGATGCCCCCGGGGAACCGTCCTCAAAAGCGACGACCATCCTCCTCGAATATTTTCCAGTTTCTAGTTCTGTTCGTGCGAGGTCTTGTTTCTTTGTCACGACTCCCCGCTCAACAAGGCTGTCCCCACTTACACCGCGCAAATTCTTTCTTAACCCAAGGCCGACGATGCGGGGGTTAGCCTGGTGTTTTGACGCGACACGGGCAGTGATGGGTTACTAAAGTTCAACAACGCGGAGTGCGAGGGCACCGTTTGTCCGTTGTGGCTACACGCACCATACACATAGGACGAAGTCTTGGTTCGCGCCAGGCATGACTTGCGATGACGGCAACTTGGCAGATTCCGTGGTCCTGCACAACTTTTATGTTGTTATGGCGAGTAGAGTAGCATCTGACACTAAAGGTGAAAAGGATTCCGGTTCGCCAATGGGAGGATACGTATGTTTCATGCTTCCTTGAGGCTCTAACAAGCCCGGCATGAGTGATTGGCACCGTGCATCTAGGCAAAAGATATTTCCAGATAGCGGGTGACAGCTTGCTTTGACATTGTCTTCCCAATGCCGCCTGCATTTGTCAGTCCTGACATTAACTGCCATCTGTCAACTGAAGTTGATTAATACTGTCAGAAGAGTGCAAACTTGACGCATCTGAGCAACTGAGCCTGCTGTCGTCATGGGCCACGGCCATCAGCCATCGGAAGGCCAGCATACCGGATAGAATCCAGAAGATATCACGGCCGGCAGTACGAGGCATCAATCTCTTGAACTTATGAGCAAGTACGACTACATCTTGACTCAAACAAGCTCTCGGTTAATGATGTTCTTAACTAGGCTTTCCGCTATCAGTTCTCGGCAATCCGACTACAAAAGCAGCTGCCAACTGGCTGCAAAGACAAAGAGTGGCCTGTAGGTTGACTAACACCCTCCGTCAGCGCCATAGCTCACCTCATCCGGTCGTACAGTCGAACTCTATACCAGATCCCCGGCATGACTTTGGGAGAAGAAAAAGGAATATTGCAATACCACGATTATTCTAGGAAGAATTTCGCCGGATACCTTCCGATTTATGTGCAAGATGTGATGGCGGCTCGGCTCCCACATACCGGATTATTCGGAGCCGGGGCCCTATATTCTCCTCCGCTATGATCTACAAATAAACCGAACTCCAAATTGACCCCAATGATGATTACCGCTTCCAAGGACGAACAGAGAATACTCGCATTCGTAAATCGTAGTTGATCTACACTCGACGGTCCGCGGCCCCCATTCACCCACATTCCGATTTTTCAGTGGAGAAAAGTTGGAACAGTCGTCAGCCTCTGCGAACGCTGTGGCACCGTACATACCTATTTTAGATTGACGATATGCTACAAGCTTGTGCGAGCTTGTAATGAAATGACTGTGATTCGTCATTACACTGCCCGCTCCATGGGCGAGTACCCAGTTGATGTCGAAATGCCGACAAGTTGTTCATCCTCGGTGACGCGTTCAGGGGAACCAAGTCTTCGACGAAAGGAGTTGACATGGCATTTCTATCAAAGGTAATCAGTTTTTCGAAAGGTGGCCAAGATTGAGACGTGTATAAGATAAATAGAGTTCGGATGTTTCTCAGCGTCTCGTTCATCCAAACTATCTCTCAGTACCTTAGCAACCTTCTCTCCACACATCATGAAACTCTCAACCGTTGCAATTGGCGCGTTCGCCTCCTTGGCCCTTGCCCACAAGGAAGTAGCCCCTGGAGTCGTCAAACGCCACGCCGATCTCTCTAAGCGCTGTGCTTCCGGAGCCGCAAAGTTCAAGCAGAAGCGATTCGAGAAGCGTCAGGAGGAGGCTAGCCTGAACAAGCGATCCGGCAACAGCTCTTACACCATCGTCACCGAGGGCCCCTACTACGACACCCTCCAGAATGACACCTGCGTCCTCGCCCCCGATGTCACCGCTGGCCCGTACTACTGGCCCCGGTCAGAGACCTTGAGGCAGGACATGACCGAGGACCAAGTCGGCGTTCCTCTCATCCTCGACGTCGGTGTTCTTGATATGGCCACGTGCGAGCCTCTTCCCAACGCCCTTGTTGCGTTCTGGCACTGCAACTCCACGGGCAGCTACTCCAGTTTCACTGGCCGTGATCCCAACACGGACTTCCGGGAGCTCCTCGAGTCTCTCAATGTCACCGACTTTGAGATTGGCACCACGGATCTTCACACTGATGACACCACATGGCTTCGTGGCATGTGGCCCTCGAATGATGAGGGTATCCTTGAGATGAAGACCATCTTCCCTGGTTTCTACATCCAAAGATCTATCCACATCCACGCTCAAGGTGAGCCTAAACTTCACTAAGTGTCAGGTCTCAAAGCTAACAGATTCAATTAGTCTTCACCGATTGGGTTTTGCACAGCAACGGCACCGTCAAGACTGGCAACACCAACTCTATCGGCCAACTGTACTTCAACGAGTCCATCTCACAGGAGATCATGGCCCTGGAGCCCTACGTCAGCCATACCGAGATCAACCGCACGACTAATGACGTGGACTCTGTCTACTCTTCAGGCCTCGCAAATGGCTACAACCCTGTCATCGACATCGTCCCTCTTGATGGTAGCGACATCACCCAAGGCATGGTCGGCTACATCACCATCGGCATCGACACGGAGAACAGCCCTTCTTTGAGTGGTCCAGAGAGCGAGCAAGGTGGCGGAGGCGGTTCCCCCAGTGGAAGTGCCATGCCTAGTGGAACCGCGCCGGCATAAGGATGAAAGGACCATTACCGGTGCTGCATATATTCGGAGTTCAGGGAGTATCAGTAGGAAATAGACAGTCACAACATACGGGATGGGAGTCAATATCACTAAGAACATTCAATGCCGCATTCCATTCAAAGATCAACGAGGTTTCCACTGTATTTCATGCTCCAAGGCGTCTTTGAGTAAAGACATTCTGCTTTTATCGTTCAAGACTACAAGTCCATGTGTATCAGGCAGGTGGGCAAGTTCAAAAGGTTGGCGAATGCCTGCATGGGTTTTCTTTGCGTATTCTTGCCAACCTACCTGCCCGAATACACAACCGCCAACCTAGTCATACGAACACACACCGAATGAAGCCCATATAGGTCCCCTCAGCTCCATTTCTGTCACTAGCCAGCAGGCGCCCGTCTAGGTCGAAGGATCGGATCAAACTGGCTGGTGGTGGAGTGGTTAATGGTCAACAATCAGTTGAACGCCACCCAGCCTACTCGACGACAGGCTTAGCGAGAGTACCCGAGTTCGGAGCCAGCACGAGTACCTGAAGTTTCCCAGTTTGAGCACCATGAGATGTAGCTCCCAGTTCATCACCAGGGCGGCGAAGTCTTTTGTAATTTTGATCCTGTGAAATATTTGATAATGCCACTTCCAATTGGTTAAACCAGCATGAAACGCAACTTTTCGGTTGTTGCCACCCAATCGGCGCGGTGCATCAGGTGATAGCTTCCAATACGCCGGAACTTTGGCAGTTGCTCGTCAGCCTCCACTCCGCTTGCATACAGAACAGTGTCGTTCTTCGGCGATTGCGGCACAGGCTCAAGAAATAGTCCCTCAAACCTCAAAACGCGGTCTGTATGGTTGACCAACGGAAGACAAACGACAATATCTCCTGTCGGTGTCTCTCCAGGCGAGTCCCAACCGTAAATTTGCGTCCAATCTGATTCAGATTCTGAGATCGTCGGTTGGAGCATCGATAATGGCGCTTTCCGATCTCTTGTACTAGTGAATGCCTGGAGTTGAATGGTCTCTTCATCTCTGCCCTTCAGCTGCGAGATCATGTGCTTCGCGTCGCCATCGTCGTTAGTCTCATTTCTATAGAACGCCACCTTGAGGACACCCTCTAGAATCAGCCCGTCATTTTCCGCCTTTCCGATCCTATTCATGCCACCAAGGCCAGAAGTTCTGAGACCAACAGCCATTACCAGCCCCGTTCCATGCGGATACCAGTTCCCGAATGTTACCTGCGTGTTCAGTGTCATCCACGACCACGATGGCGCCAAGTAATCAGTCGGCCGCGCGCGAACCTTCTCCTGAGCACTCCACAGCAGAGCCCATGGCAAACTCTCGTCTATCCATACACCATAAGCTTGCTGGGTATCGCGCTTATCCTGCAACTGACCGGGCAAGCCCGAAAAAGCCACTTGCCTGTCGCTAGGGAACGTAAGCTTTGTCTTTGAATACATCTTCACTGTTTCCGACCACGCAGCCTCAAAGGGCTTGGTCCCCGCGCTCTCGAGCAGCATGTCTCGGAAACGTCTCCGGTCGCCGATAAATTGCCACCAGATTGTGGCCGGCTGCGACGGGACCCCTTCAGGAAACGATTCACAAAGCTCGCGCTGGCCGCATCCCCAAAGGATCTGCTGCCGACCAAAGTAGAGTGTTCGAGGAGAGAGCAGTCGCTCCTGAAAGACCCAAGCTCGCTTATGCAGCGGCGCCTCTGGAATGTCTGACTTCCATCTGGCATCTAGGTTTTCCCCGTGAAGAAGAAATGGCGGAGCCACAGAATCCGTCGAGAACGGCGATGGTATGACGCAGGGCAAGACAGTCCAAGGGTCTCTGTCCGAAAAACAGCCGCCTAATCCGTCCGCCGCATGGCTTGCGGATATGGTGCAAAGTGACAGGCTGTATACCTTGCCCATAGTAGGAGCCTCTCGTCTCCAGTCATCCTCGCTCTGTTGAATGATGCAGATGGAATCTATCCATAGATATCGAACCCCAAGTCTCCTGGCGATGATAAAGGCGTCGGAAAAGGTTTTGGAAAGCTCTGTGTGCGGTATGCCTATCATAAACTGCTTGATGTTGGTTTCAAGGAGGGTGCACGGCTGCTTTAAGCCCCAGCAGTGACTCAGCGTCATCCATTGAACAGGGCGCTGCAGAGATTGCGAATGTACCAGCTTGGCTACGTCGGAAGGGGACTCTCCCAAGTCAATCAGGCGAGTGGGGGCCCATCCGTCTTCGTTTTGCATTGAGCAATCGTGTGATGTCAGGCAATCCGTGAGAAACTTCTGAGCTAAGCCGAATGCTTGCTCCGAGCCAGTATTGGTGTTCAGAGCCAGAATTGACTCTTCCCCTGGAATCGAAGCTGCAATTTCCGCTGTCATTCTGCATGAGCTTCTGGTATCATAGCAATGTAATTACTCGGAAGCGTCACGAACCTGTTGTTTCTTCGACCGAGAAAAATATGGTTTGCATCCTGTTGGCATTCTCTTCGTCTAATCTCCACAGACCCATGTGAATATCGTAACCTTGCGTTCCGCTGGCGAAGCCGTATCGAAGCTCGAGACTATCGTCCGGATCCAAGTCATCCCAGTCTGGCCATGGAATATCGTGCTTTCCCCCAAAGCTCAAGCGCCGGAACCATATGAGACTGCAGATGCGACAGCCACCGCCCTTTCCTTGTTCCAGGCTCTCCTTTGTGTGCGGGAGCCGGTAGCCATCATTTTTCGGAGAGTACAGACCGTATGAAGAGACTACTCTAGCTTCAGTGAAAATAGTCAGACAACGGTCACATAGATGAGACCAGCGACGGTGGTGAGACTGAGTCACCATAGCTACAAGGATTGTCGATCAATGTTGAAATCTGAGCTGGATTGCTCGCAAGTGTAATTAGGTAGCTGAATGCACCTTACTTTTTGCTGCTACGTAGATTGTGAAAGAGGATCCCCCAGATCAACTTATAGCTTCCAATCACGTGACGTAAGCAGAGTTGGACTTCTCCGGACTGCTGTTTTTCATTGGTTGTTACCTCTTACCCTAGTCCTGTGCAACGGCTCGAAGGTTATTCACAATTTTACAAGCAGCCAGACAAGATAGTAGTTAGAATGGAAACGATGTGATGTCTCGCCAACTAGCCTTCTCAGATCATCACCTGTACCGTGTGAACTAACACTATTTCAGCGAGTATACGGACTCATCCAATTAATCATGGTAGCTCCCGTCCCCCAAAGTTTCAGAAGCCCAATACAAGACTAAGAACATCTTTACAGAAGTCGTAAAAGATTACTGCTCCTATCAACATCAAAACGTCCTACGACCTGTTGAAAACGCCTGATTAGCCAACGCATCAGCCTCGGTGTTTTCCTCTCTTGGGATAGCCCAAAATAAGATGTCCCTCCCACCATCATCTCCATACGTCATCTCATCCAACCGCTCATGCAACTCCCTCAACACCTCAAAATGCGCAACTCTCTTCCCTCTCGCGTTCAACCCTTCATTCTCGATCCAGTCCCCAATCCAAAGCGCCATCGCACTCGCAAGATACTCTGAGTCCGTCGCAATCGTAATCCGATTCAACGAATAATCCCTCCCCGTAATCTCGCAAATAATCCTCACAGCCTGCACCAGCGCCTCAATCTCAGCCCTTGAGCTCGTCTGCGGGAGGTCCCTCGCCAACAACCCGCACGCGTTATATCGCGACCCGGGACCAAAGTAGACGCCCCACGAGGCTTGTGCATCGGGGAGCCCGTTGTTGCGGCAGGCGCCGTCAATGTAGACGACCATGCTGCCGCGTTCGGGGACGGGACGTTTGGTGGCCCAGGAGTACATTTGCATGCCGAGGAGCTGGGTCGAGGGGTTGTAGATGACGAGGTCTGATTTGGGGACCATTCTGTGGGTGTCGCTTGCGCGGTGTTCGAGGAGGCGGCTTCCCATGCCGTCGTCATCGTCGTAGCCCATCATCGTTGTGGTGGTGTTGGGTCGTTTCACGACAGCTGTTAGGAACAAGATAGGAGACGAGTGTTTTCAGTCACACAAGAAGATATTCTCTAGTACTACGGATGTTGCTGGGTAGATAGGTCGAGATGTTTTCTACTAGCCTGATCAGCATACTACTTTCTCGTAGACAGACAGTAATCTCATGGGTGAGCTTACAAAGGTATGAGATGTAATAAAAAGTCGTTGCTATTATCAACGTCTAAGTCGGTCGGGGTAGGTTGCCTGTTGATCACATGGAATCTGGCTGTGAGCTCAACAGAGGTTGACAGAAGCATGGCCAAAAGAGGGGGAGGGGCAAAAGCTAAACCAATAAACTTGACCTAAAGACGGATAAAAGTGGCCCCATGCATATGAACTTCTGACGCCTCTTGGTTCTGATATCTAATGTTTACCATCCACTCTATCTTCCTATATCTTGAACTCACGTCTGAGACGTCAACTTCAGACCATAATTAAGGCAGGTAATTGATGATGCTAGGCACTTCATGACCATACGGGTGAAAATGGCAACCTATGAGTTCTCACACGATTCACTTGTCAGCTTTCGACGTGGGGCAGCGTATTTCCATTCTCGAAGTCAAAGAGACATGAGCCATACTCAAGCCTCTGGCCTTATGTCTCTTACAAAGCTCATCTAAGCACCCAATATCTAACTCCATCAACTTGAAAGTCTACCGCAACTACCTTTCTGCTGCGAATTAATCCTTCACCACTAGACAAACATCGTCACAACAGCCAGCAAAATGACAAGAAGCCCAGGCAACAACATTGGCATCATCAACTCTTCAATCGCAAGCTCCGTGCTCGGCGAGATGAGACTCAGTGGGAAACTAGGCGGGAACGCCCGCCGCCTTTTCTCAACAGTCTCCATCAGATGCCTCGGAATATTCGTAATATCGATTGTCAAGCGATGCGTGCTCTTGCTTCCATCATGCTTAACGTACAGTGTCGCCAGATCAGGATCGTACGACCACTCTCCATCGCTGACTTTGATGTCGATGTTGCGTTGTGCGTAGTGGTACTCTGGCACAAATATCTCCGTCGTCCGGGACTTTTCGGGTTGACTTTTGCTGTTCTTGGCGTCACTCTCGGCCTCTGAAGTCCACTCGAACTCGTAGTGGAGGGTCCGCGGATCCCAATCCGAGCGAACGTGGCGGCCTGGAATCTTGACGGCGTAAGGACGAATAATCACGTCCAACACCCTCCCACCGCGGTACAGCTCATCATCTTCGTGCGCCTCGTTCGCATAATCTGGCAAAATGTGGCCGGGCTTCGCTTCAGTGTCGCCGTTAACGACAGAGAAATCCTCCTTGTTCCACCCATCGCCGTACTCCACCCGATTATCAGGGTTATAATTCCACAGCGTAAACGCAAGATTGTTGTCCTCCATGGCGGAGACGAGCGCGTGCATCAGCTCCCGCAGCTTATCGTAATTGCCCGTCTTGAAGGCTTCGCCGCCGTTGATGTCGTAAGGTATGCCAACCTCGCCGATGAGGGCGGGCACGTGGGTCCCCAGCGACTTTTGCCCGTACTTGAGGATGTTTGCGAGTTGCGTGCGGTAGTTTTGGCGGAGGGCCCTGGCGCCGAAGTAGAGTGCCTTCAGTATGAACATGCCCCTGGAGAGGCCTTGTACGTTGACGCTCATCCAGGAGTGATGCTTGCTGAATAGTACGTTGAGGTCGTAGAAATGAGGGGCAAAAACGAGGTTCTCTGGCCTCGGGGTGTCGATGATTGTCTTGGTTGCATACGTTTGCTTTTGTCCGGCTTCGTCCACCTTGCCGTCCTGGCTAACCCAAGGAGGCACAAACTCGTTCGGTATCGGCTCAAAGAAGCAGAATTGGCGGGAAGATTTCCGTGAGACGCGTTCCGAGAAGCGCTTGAGGAAGGGACCGTAAAAGTCGCGGTACCATTCTAGCGGCTTGCCTTCACGGCCTGGCCGATGGTCCACCTCGAAGTAGTCTTGCTGCAAGACCTTTGGGCCCTTTTTCGCCTCATCCCATTCCCAAACGCCATGAGCGCGCCATACACACTCGCCGAGACCATAGTTTTGTGGTTTCGATGCAGTTGGCTTAGCAGCCAACCAGGCAGATCTTCCCTTCGGGTCGACGACGGTTTTGTGCGAAATGCGGGTAGGGAACGGCCAGGACTTAACGTAGTAATTGACTTCTTGAGCGTAGCCACTGGCAAGTGCGAGTGCTTGTGTCAGAGAAGGGTAATATCCGATATGTAAGTCGGTATCGTAGTTCCAACCGTCGAATCCATGAAGATTGACAAGACCTCGATGCGGCTCATTCAAGGGCTCAAAGCCAACGCATGCCTCAAGGCCAGCCACTTCATCCGCGAGCCGCCCAAAGGCTTCGATAAAGGCACTCTGGAGAAACTCCTGAGCCGAAACAGTCTCATCCCTGCCATCTTTCGACCGCTTGCATTGCAGCTTCGGCGCCAGAGCATCGCCCGCCCAAAACAACGTCGCCATCGTCGACGCCGCAATTTTCTGGTACCCAGACGGCCACACAAACGGTCCGCTCGGTTCCTTCTCGTTCACAGGCGCAGTAGCTCTTCTCAGTTCATCCTGCCCATGCACATATGCGGCACCGGTCTCAGTGAATGCCTCGACATCGAGCCCAGCAACTTCAAACGTCCAACCGGGTGCACCGCTGCCGCCGCTGAACCGACTCCACACATCCTGGTGGGCGCAAATGAAGCACTTGACGCCGTACTTCGGCATGATTTCGATGAGTTGGCGTAGGTAGTCGATATACTCCAAATCCACATCCGTCTCCGGGTCCGGCCCAGAGTGACCAATCGACTCCCACGTTACCAGCAGACGAATAAGCGGCAAGCCCCAAGCCTGCAATCGTCTGAAGTGCAACGGCGCATCTTCAAGGGGGAATGGCCGGCCGATGAAGGTCACCGTTCGGTGCTCGAAGAAGCCGTCGGTGAGATGAGACAGGCCATTGGGCGTCGTAGGCAGCTTGCTCGCCCCAGAGATGTTGAGGCCATGCAGCGTGAGGGTGCGACCGTAGTTGTCGACAAAGTAGCCATCTTTAAGGCCAATTGGACCTCCTAGTGCCGCGTCCGAGAGGTCCTGTGCAGCATATTTGGCCGCCATGGTGAAGGGGCGGTGAAATGGTCGTTGGTTATCAAAGTGTAAGGTGAGCTTTTTAGCTTGATTGGCCGGGGATGTGCTCCGGACGTTACGCGTACCGACAGGTCGTCATGACAGATAGTCTGCTTAGTCAGCGGGTGCTCCTCAGAGGCCAAGTCAGTTGTTGTCACCAACATGAGATATTGACAACTCATCAACAGGGTCAATAGAGATCTTGAAATACCTTGAAGATACTGATACAAGATTTTTAAGGGATCGAGAAAGCTAAACCAATTTCAGGTTTGGTTTGAGAGAGATCACCATCAATGAACACCATACCGGAAAAGTCGGGTCCCGGAGGTGGATGCTGTGCCAAGGCTTGTGCCCCGTCAAATGCTCGAGGTCCTTGAGCTATTTTCAGAGCCTAACCGCCGTTCATCAAAGCTCGACATATCGGTGTTTAATCGTCTCGGTAGGCTTGAACACCATCACCGATTTTACAGCAACGTCACAACGAGATATGGAACTGGCAGTGTTCTTATTTGTTTTCATTATTCATAGAGTCGTCCATCTATGGCCGTCTACGGCTTTTTCTATATAAGGCCCGCATGGTATCATAAACTAGGAACGCGGTAGTTTTTTCTTTCCTTTATCAACAGCACACAAACTTAGAGCTTGCGAACGACCTTGTTGGAGGCCTCCTTCTCCTCCTTCTCGTCCCAGATGTTGATGTTCCAGCGGGGCTTGTAGGTGAAGGGAATGTTGTAGCGGCGGGGCTCCTTGCCGATCTCGTTGATGGCGGCAACGTCCTCATCCGAGATCTTGACCTCCTGAAAGTTGGACTGGATGCGGCTGGGGGTGACGGACTTGGGGATGACGGAGTGGCCGCCGTTCTGGGACCAGGCGAGGACGACCTGGGCAGGGGTGGCGTTGAGCTTGGTGGCGATCTTCTTGACGACGTCGTTCTCGATCAAGAGGGGAAGACCGAAGCCGTTGTTGCCAAAGGCCTGTGCTTGTTAGTTATTGCGTCATTGAGAAAAGGAAGAGGGTAGTGTTTGGGGTGAACATACAGAGTAGGCGGTGATATGAATGTTCTTTTCCTTGGCGTACTTGATCAGGGTGTCGTTCTGCTGGAGGAGGGGGTGGCGCTCGATCTGGTTGACGGCGGGGGTGACACCGGTGGCATCGATGACGGTCTGGAGGTCCTCGACGGTGAAGTTGGAAACACCGATGTTCTTGGCCTTGGACTTGGGGAGGTCGATCAGGGCCTTCCAGGTGTCGACCAGGGAGACGCTCTGGTCGAGGTCAACCTCACCCTCGGCGGCGAGGGGGAAGAGCTTGTCGCCATCCTTCTTGAAGGCAACGGGCCAGTGGATGAGGTAGAGCTGTGAGTGAGGGGTTAGCCGGGTATTGCTCGCCCGTCGATGCCCACCCAACCTAGTACGCAAGGAGGGGTATTGGAGGAAGACATACGTCAAGGTAGTCGAGCTCAAGCTCCTTGAGAGTCTCGTCGAGAGCGGCCTCGACGTTCTCGGGCTTGTGGTTGTTGTTCCACAGCTTGGAGGTGATCCAGATGTCCTCACGCTTGAGGCCGGGGATCTCGGCGAGGGCCTTCTTGATACCCTGGGCGACCTCGGGCTGGTTCTGGTAGATCTTGGCGAGATCGAGGTGGCGGTAGCCGGCCTTGAGGGCCTCGTAGACACCGACGGAGACTTCGCCGGGGGCGGACTGCCAAGTGCCGTATCCCAGAGTGCTATAATGGCCAAAGAGTCAATTCACTTTGCGTGTTTTCTTTCGTTTTGTAGATTGGGAGGGAGAGAAAAGAGGCAGAACGCGAGCGCGAGAGCGGGGTATCGCGATCGGCAGGGGAATGGATGGAGGGGTAATTATTTAGACGTACGGGATCTCGGCGCCGGTGTTGAGCTTGGCCTTGCTTCCGAAAGACATTTTTGCTGGATTTGTATGAGGATTGATTCAGAAGAGAAGAAGAGGGAGAGTATAAGTTATCGTAAGAATCACCAGCAGAAGGAAGAATTGCTGGGGAGAGCTTCGAGGTGGCCTCTTTTTAAACAAGTGAGGGGTTCCAACACGCAATTGCATCATCGTTTGTCAGGATGAGCTGCGCACCCTGATGGGATGGGGTACCTCGTACTTTCTCTCCGTGACGCCCACCGTCGGACCCGCTTAACGGCCCTCGAGTACCAATTGTCGATGGTGGATGGTAGAGATGGAGGAGGAGACGCGGGTTGCCCCAGGACACGGTCGTGACGCTGCCACCGTCGCCAACTGTTAGGATTGCCTGAGTGGGTTGGCCGTGGCGGGGTTGCGGTCGTAGGTGTGGACCGTGGGCGATGGTGAGACTGGGGGACCCCGCGCTTCCACCTAAATCTCCCGTCTTCTGTCTCTCTCGGCTGCGGAAGCCCGAAGTCGGCCATCACGGAGGGGCTCTTCTTATGGCGTACGGATAGGCTCGCTTGGAACTGAGACATGAGTCCGTTTGGGCCCGTCTGGGACCGTCTGGGCCCGGCACCGGGTAAGCACTACACGCTGACCCGTCCCGGCACATAGTAATTAACGTCTTCACACGTCTCTTAGAGTACCTTAACTTGAGGCCTTCCGGTTCATATGAGATATCCTCCATGAGATTTATGGCATCTTGGACACTGAGACTTGCGTTGTACCATCTCACTCTGTGAAATCACTCTATGATCTCACTCTATGATCTCACTCTATGAGATGAAATCGAATCCGTCATCATGACTTTTGGTCACGTCTTATCTCTCACTCATGTCGTCTTGATCATGTCAAGCATCGACAGAATGTCGTGCAGTGACGGGACAGACGGCGCGGATGACGATCAGTGTAGCTCATGGAAATGCCGCAATTGCCACTAGACTTTCTCTCGGCACATCTTTACACCAAGCCCCGAAAGCGTGTTCCACTCAAACGTTCTTCATGTTCCACACAACCTTAATCTGATGCGATCAAATGAGATTTCGCCCTTTGAGGTATGGCAAACTGAGAATGCGCAGTGCATTGCGCGACTAGTGTAGAGAATGAGGTCCCACAATATCAACTGCTCACTCTCCTTATTTGTGTAACAAACGTCAGGTATTTATGCCTACTCTTGACTGAACACCATGCTTCTGGAGAATCGCTGATGCGCCCAGGAGATGTCATTAATGAGAGGTCAATTGACGACGAACATGGATAGAGTGAAGAGAACTAGCAGCGACCACTCTTGACGTGAATCCCGGCAGGTAAGCTCTTCGCTAAAGGCGTTGTGAATTGAACATTGGGATTGGGCTGCTGAATCTCACTTCTGAGTGCCTCAATCTGAGTCTGAGGCTTCATCACAGGCCATGAGGAGTGAGAAGATCGAAATTGTGTTTGACAGAGGACGCAGCATCTGAGGCATTGAGATCAAGCGACCAGGTAATAGGAGGAAGATAAGTGTATTCATGAAAGTCGGCGATGAACATCACTACCTCGGATCCAGCAATGCTTCTCCTGCCTCAACCCCCACGTCAATCATATCCATGCAAGCTGTCATCGACGTCGGAAAAAGAATCTCACATCCAAAGCCAAGTTCCCGACCGGGTAAGATGGACACAGGCGCCGGTTCCTGCATCCTTCACAAGTCAATCACCCAATCAGCCTCCCAGTGAGACATCTCACGCTGCTCGCTTACGGTCGAGAAGCGCGCGTTCTGTAGCGCCGCCCGAGTCCCGAGGGGATCATCAGGGGCAGGGTTGGAAATTAGTCTAGTCTAGTCTAGTATGGCCTGGACTAATACTAGGCTAGTCTAGTACGGCCTGGACTAATACTAGACTAGTATAGTACGGCCTGGACTAATACTATACTAGACTAGTATTAGTATACTAATAAGTATATATTTAAAAAGATTATTTATAAATTCATAATAATTAATTAGCTATAAATACTTATATATATTAAAATAAAACTATAAAATACTTATTTTATTTAGTTTTAAAAGTATAAATACTATTATTTAAATAAACTATGCTTAAAATATTAGTTTTTATTAATTGTTTTAAGAATTCAAAAATTCAATTATACATATTTTTAATTAAATAGTTTTACTTATATTTACTATAGAAATATTTTTTATTATATTTTTTAGAATTTTTTTAGAATTTTTTTAGAGTAAATTAAAACCAATATTCAAATTTCTAAAAATAGTAATAAAATTACTATAAATAGTATATTTTATACTAATTAGTATACTATTAGTATACTAATACTAGTCTAGTCTAGTACTAGCTATACTAATACTAGTCTAGTATTTTAAAGGGTGGACTAATACTAGACTTACTAGTACTAGACTAGACTAATACTAAATACTAGTAGTATTTTTTCCAACCCTGAGGGGGGAGCTCTCAAGGGCCTGACAGGATGCGGCCCGCTACGGTCCACTGTGGAGAACCATAAAATTAGAATGCCTCAAGCGACCGTGGCTGCCGACTGGTGCCTTCAGACGCGAAAGGTGTTCACAGCTTACTTCGCATCTTCTCAGTCATAGTTATGAACGACGAAGCTCAGCATATGCGTTGAAAGATCAAATGAACACGAGGTTTTGAAGACCTTGGACATGGCGCGGTAGCCGCTCCTGGGCTTGGCCGTTCATGGTAGGTCGTAACGCTGTGTTATTCCGGAAACTTTGTAAATGCCGAAATGCCGTGATATCGAATTATGGGTCCCTGTTCGGCGCCGAAACTATCAATGATCTCCTTTCATTTAGCCTATCTCTTCACACTATGTGAACCATTACTTGGCTTTTTTTCTTCCATCCTATGCGTCTCGCCGAAAAGCCGACAAGAATATAGCCCCGGTAGCTAGACGTTCCCCGGAGCGGAATTGTATACCGGCTTACATGGCGACCGCCGCCGACATTGGAGTAGGTGTGGCGAGACTCAGCAAAGCGTGCACTGAGTGTCACTCGCGCAAGGTCAAGTGCGATGCGCCTATTGTCGGGATACCCTGCGGCCGATGTGTTAGCAAGGGATGCTCCGAGAGTTGCAAGTTGGTCTCTCGCCAGATACGAAAGAGGTAGGCGAAAGCATGGGAAACCTCGGACAATATTCTCGGTCCTCTGACGATGGCGCTCAAGGAAGAGAAGAACAGACGATTTGATCCAAGACTGCCACGGCACCCAGAATGTGAGAACTCTATGTATCTTCCCATCGGTTCATCCGGGCAGCTCAAGTTCGGCCCATGGCATATGAAGCTGTAGAGATATAGCAGTGATGACTGACTGGAGCAGAACACTGAGTCTACGCCCAGAGAATCCTCGTCAATCCATGCCGTAGTGGATTTGCCTAGCCTTTCTACTCGAAGTGCGCAGCGGTCTTCCATTCAATGCTCGCATGATCCACATGGCCTTGGTGAACTTGGGAAGACGAGCTCGATAGGTTCAGGCTCCACGCCCGAAAACATAAGAGACGTCTATGCACTCCCGCAGGCGCAAGCCGAATACAATGGAAGGAGTCATTATCTCAGCATACTAAAGACGGCGATGAATGGCAGTGAGACGAGTGAAAGTCCCGGACTCAGGTCTATTGCCAACAGCTCCACCGATAACACTCCACGCTACCCAGAAAACACGCAGGTCGGCATGACGGGGTTGGATCCAGTGGATCTGGAGTTTCTTATAAAGAAGGGCGCATTTATGTTGCCGCACCGGGATGCCTTGTAAGTCGTACACTCTGAAGCCGACTCCTATAATGAACACATGACAGCTGACAAGAAGGTTTGAGAATGGTGTTTCTGACTGCCTATTTTCGCTTTGTTCATCCATATTCGCCAGTATTGGATCCAAACCACTTCCTGCAATGTTACGAGTCAGGATCTTATTCGCCGTTCCTCATACAGACAGTCCTAACAAGTGCTACTCTCTACGTGCCGACTGAGCTCCTCACCTCGTGTGGATACTCAAACGTCACAGAGGCGCAGACGGCATTCTTCAACAAGGCATTGCTACTACACGACTTTCAATGCGAGAAGAGTCAACTATGCCTGCTTCAGGGATCCCTCATCCTAGGCACAACTGCCTTCTTCTACCCCATCGACCGAGATGTTCAGTACTGGTTCTTCAATGCCGTCCGGCTTGCCACGAAATTGGAACTCCAGAAGCTGTGAGCACACCTCAAATTCCATACTCAACCCCGGGTTCAATCTTCTCAATATTATCATTCGCAGTGATCAACTACGGATTGCGGACACTCAGCTTCGCGGGCTATATAGGAGAATTTGGTGGGTGATCTACGTGAGTTGATCACCTGGGCCCAGGAGATTGGAGCCACTTGACTCACGTGCCATTTGGATTGACCCATCGTTCTAGTGTCGAGACGTGCTACTGTCATTCCTTGGCATGCAAAGTATGCCTCTGGTCAGCGACAAGAAGAAGCTGCCAGCGTTGCCAACGGCGGAAGATTGGGAAGTTCAGAGTGACAACATAAACACCCTGTTCCCTTCCACGGTAACTCGTGAACAAGAGCTTCACTTCATTGATTACTGCAAATTGTCTGTGCTAGGTAGGACGCAATTGGCCAACATATGGTACAGCTCTTGACACTTACCAAATGGTGACAGGAAGGAAATGGCTGGTTGGAATATCCGACCCAGATCAGGTCAACGCTGAAACCATGGCTCACGAATTTCATAATTGGAGAAGTCAGCTTCGAGGGGCAATCTACGCAGACCACCACCTCACCGATGGCCCCTACATCACGGCCCTAATCGCAGCCAGTTACAGGTTCGAGTGTATCTTGTACAGGACTCTCAAGCTTCATTGGAAGTCTATTGATGTTTCCCGGTACGACTGGGTACGAGTTCGACTTCGATGCTCTATGTTTGAGCTTGACACGCTGTTCGGCAGAGCGCTTGCAAATGGCGAACTTAGGAGCCTGCCCATGTCGTTGTGCGTCTCCCCAACAGAGAGTCCCAAAATTGAGAATGAACGACTAACAATTGAGCCTGGAAGCAATTCCAATATACCAATAGCACTGGCCCTCCACATAGAGACCGCCTTGGATGCCACCGAGTCGAGCGCAACCAAGTCCATGTCGCTCATCTACATTCGTCAAGGATTGATCATTCTCGAACAGCTTCAGGACTCACCAGTCATGAAGAGGGTATTGTCCATCTTTGAGTGGGCATTAACTCGATTGGATCTAATCCCCGAGGTTTCTCAGGACAAGCAAGTCAGTGACGGTGTTCGTGCTGGCAGTGACCAGGACGGGTCTGTGGACCAGGTGGGAGCCTCGACGGGTCAGGAATTTGGAGAAATGCTCGATCAGATGGAGCCGTGGTTTGGTGATTTCCTCGGACTTGACTTCCTCGATGACTTGAGGTCGGGCGGCGATAGAGGATAGACCTCGAAATTTGTTGGGCATAACAGTGATGAAATGTGAATCATTTGACGCGGTTTGCAAGGAAAGTCTTTCCGTGATACTTCCCACCACAATCTTGTTGCCGGTAGTTGGGTAGTCCTTTTGCTCCACACAAGTTTGAAAATCAGGTATGTCGGTGAGTCTGCTGGCTTGCGGTTATCGATGCCTCCAGCGAAAAGGGCGACAATTCACCGTATGTTCACCACGCAGGTTTTGAGGACCCAGTCATGAAGTGAGATGCATTCAAGTTGTGGCCATCATGATTGCGGGATCAAGTGGTACGGGGGTTCTATGTCACGGTCTAGATCTATTCCGGCGTCTAGGATATTCAAGTCTAGCTACATGTGTCTTCAAACAAGAGGGAGTGTCTTGGTGCTACCAGACCAGAAACCCTTGAACAAAAGTTCCACCTCCTGCACATTTTCGATCGGGTATATGCCAGCCAAGATGCCGTCTGGGCGCAGAACAACAAGCCCGCCGCTTTTGGCAGAGATTCCAAAGGTATTGTGTCCCTGTCCGTCGACATCACAGAGCACCAAACTAGAAGGGAGCCCATCATACACATCCCACGTGTTGGTAATAGTACCGGTGACAATTGTCGTGAAGTTAACCATCTGGTCGTATTTATTGGCCGCGTTGAGAGACTCGAGAGTCTCATGCAGCGCAGCCACCTTTGCTGTCTGTTGACCAGGGCGACCAGCAAAGATGAGCATGTTCCACTGCCCAGTGTTCTTATGGATAATGCTCTGCAGGCGAATGGGAACAGACGGACCGGGTGCTCTGAGAAGGATGTCAGGACAGCGATGACCGATGGCCAAACTACCAGTGGTTGCCTTGTCGACCAGGACCGAGGGCCCATAGCTGACGCCAAGACCAATGTTGAAGCTGGCGTTGGACGTCAATATGTCGCCCAGCACCTTGCTCGGCTCAGGCTTGCCGCTGCATCCGTTCCACGTCTCGGGCACGTCGCCAGACATTACAGCCGCCAGGGTCTTGTCGATATCAATGATCTTTTGCGCGACGGCAAGGCGCTCCTCGGAGTACGTGTCGAGCACTCCCGTCTGATACCACCCTCTGAGAACTCCAGCGAGCTTCCATGAGAGGTTAATGGCGTCGTGGATTCCGGTGTTCATGCCCTGGCCGAAGCCGGAGGAGTGTGTGTGAGCAGCGTCGCCGGCAAGGAATACGAAGTCATCCTTTCGCATGGTCGCGGCGACCTTTTGCTTGATGCTGTTTTTGCTGTTAGTGAATTGGCTTTCGTGGGTTTCAGGATTATACTTGCGTGTAAATTGTCCACCAGTCGATTCGCTCGAACTCAAGGTTGAACGGTTGGACGGACTTGATTACCTCCTCCATGGCCTGTTCTTTGCTGAGACCTTGGGGATACTTGGCCTTGAGCGTCGGAGTGAAGACGTATCCCAGGCGGCACGCATCCTTATCAAGCCGAGCTAGGAAGGCGCTGCCGTACTCGGCGCTGTTGATTGTCACAAAGCCAAGGTCGGTCTCAGGAATGTCGGTCTTGACACGGCCATCAAAACGAACCCATTCGTATGCCGTTTCGTCACCAATCATTTCAATCTTGGCAAGTTGTCGGACTTGAGACGTGACTCCGTCGGCGCCGACCAGGTATTTACTTTGGAGAATTAGTCAAGTTCTTCTCATTGGGGCATGTATGGGAAGGGGCTATACCATCTGACCGAACGTGTTCCGTGTTGAGGATGTTGAAGACTAGCTGTTAGATTGTAGCCGTCTTGGGGCTTGTCGTCGATTTGGTAGTCGACAAGTTCCCACTGATATTGAACTTCATTTCCTGAAACGGCACTATACTTGGCAGCAAAGATGGCCTGAGAAGACTTTTGACGGATGTTGATGATATAGTCGTGGAAAGTTCCGGTCATGGCAGTGAACATTGACTGCTGGCCCACTGCCGACACTCTTTTACCGCCCTGGAAGGTGGCGATTCCCCGTACAATGTTGCCCTGTTGAACTATTTCCTTGGCGACGCCGACCTGTTCGAAGAGCTCGAGAGTGCGGGGAAAGAGAGTAATGGCTCGGCCAAAGGACTCCTGGACCTCCAACTTTCGTCTTTCTTTGGTTCAACGTCAGGTCCGCCCAACATCAAAGTAGCCTCTGCCAACTTACCAATGATGATTGTGGGGATGCCTTGCTGGGCCAGACCGAGGGCAGTCACTAGGCCGACCGGGCCAGCGCCGACAATGAGAACATCAGTTGGCTCGAAATCCATGGCCAATCAAGATAGTCAGATGAGCTGTGGGATATGTTCAGATGGTTGATGGTAGATAGAAAGGAACCAGAAGGAGTCGGTGGTCCTGATGACAGTCTTATATGTGACCGGGAAGATTTCGGTCTTCGAGTGCACGGGATGAACTGAATCACCGTCTACAATTTACGTTGCATCGTTGCGTCTTTGCCCGGAATTCGGGGTCAAAGTGATAGGCCGAAAGTACTCTAGACAATACATATCTTTTGCTTGATATACAGGAGGCTCCATATATCCCGCAGCCGCCTTACTCGGCGTCCAGACTCCGTAGAAAGATGAAGGTGACAAAATTCCGGCGCCGAAAGAAAATGTGGGTCTTGTTCGGCACCGAACGACGAGAATCAATCTTTAATTGCCTGCCGCGTCTTGTCCGTCCCGTTAAACTGGCCATCATTCTGCCTCAGTAAGTAAACTCTCGACAGGGATGAAGCAAGGTTCGCCAGACACAAACGACCCCAAAATTCGATGGGTCGCTTTCACAATTAGGGGGACTGAAATATGCGGGAAATGGGGCACGTGTGTTTTGACTTTCAGCTCCATGTCTCAACCGTCTCGAAACGTCGCTCCAAGTTCCATGGAACGCCACAAATCTAACCAAGAAAGCCGCCGCCCGTTGGCTTGGCTTGGCCCAGGCTTGCTCGGTAAAAGTCAAAGTTGGTTGTGAACACCTAACCGCCTTTTCTGCTAGCCTTGCACCGCCGGCCCTTACCTCACCTCAACTCCAACTGGTGAGATTTTGCTATGAGATTCCCAATCAGGGGCTTGCGACAGCGACATCCGTAAACGGTTCCCTCCTTACAGACCACAGCTTTTCTTGTCGCATCTTGCTTGGTCACACTTCGTGTTCCTTTCTCGTATTCGATAGACGGCAGACACTCTCATTCCACCGCCGTCACCGAACCGTTTCCATGACTCGAACCTAGCCGTGTCACACAGTCTCCCTCCCTTGCTTGGCTTCAACCATCGAGAAGGCCTCATCACGCCCCAGGGCCATCACGCCGCCTCTCATTCACGCGTCTCTCTATTCACGTATACTCACACAGACACATATAGACATTTGTCATGGGGAGGACATCATACCGCTGGACGCGGGTGCGCTCCACCGTCCTCACCCTCATCACAATAACATGTGTCATCTACATCCTCGACACAACATGGCTACACCCGCGCACAGAAACAGCCATGCTGGAACGCTTCATGAACACAGAAAGCCTCGTTCGGCAACCGGCGACACCAAAGTCTAGCTTCGACTGGTCCGCCGTCGACCTAAAGTACCCGCCTCAAGACCCGCTCACCCGCGTCCCGAACGGCGGCCGCGGCTCCCTGCCCCGTGTACAACACCGATTCGCCTCCGAGTCCCTCTCCGCTTCCCGGCGCCGGGAAGCCCGCCGGCAAGAAGTCCGGCGCCTCTTCCAAAAGAACTGGGCGAATTACAGAGAGTACGCCTGGATGAAGGATGCTCTCAACCCCATCTCGGCCACCGCAAAGGACCAGTTCTCCGGCTGGGCCGCCACCCTCGTCGACTCCCTCGACGTCCTGTGGATCATGGGCCTCAAGCCGGAATTCGAGGAGGCTGTCGCGGCCGTCGCGAAGATTGACTTTAGCATCTCCACGTCGGACCGCGTGAACACCTTTGAGACAAACATCCGCTACCTCGGCGGTCTCATGGCCGCCTACGACCTCAGCGGGCGCCGCGTCCTCCTCGACAAGGCTACCGAGCTCGGTGATCTGCTGTATGGCGCCTTCAACACAGAGCACCGCATGCCGGTAGACTTTATCAACTTCAACGACGCAAAGTCAGGCAAGGGCCTCATCGTCGAGGGCTCCGTCGTCTCCGCGTCACCGGGCACCTTATCCCTCGAGATGACGCGCCTGTCCCAACTCACCGGCAATCCAAAGTACTACGACGCCGCCGCCAAAGTCATGGACCTCTTCCACGACGGCCAGCAAAAGACCAAACTCCCTGGCATGTGGCCCATGTTCGTCCACATGGCCGACCGTGACGTCGTCACGGGCTCAACCTTTACCATCGGCGGCTGCGCCGACTCGCTCTACGAATACCTCCCCAAGATGATCGCCCTCCTCAACGGTGCGGAACCAAAATATCGCACCATGACGGAGAACTTCCTCAAAGCAGCCAATGAGTCCCTCTTCTTCCGACCCATGCTTCCCGGCGGCGAAAACGTCCTCATCTCGGGCAACGTCGACGTCGACGCAGCCGGAAACCGCTCTCTCGACCCGGAAAGCGAGCACCTGTCCTGCTTCATCGGCGGCATTTACGCCCTTGCCGGTCGCGTGCTGGGCAAAGAAGAGTGGGTCACCGTCGGCGCGCGGCTGACGCTGGGGTGCTACTACGCCTACCAGGCCATGCCGACGGGCATGATGCCGGAGCGGTACAACATGGTCAAGTGCGACCGTCGTGACGCGTGCGTGTGGGACGAAGACAAATGGGACGCGGCGAAGAAGTTGAAGACAGAGTATAAGGAGCACTTGCCCAAGGGCTTCACTACAGCCAAGGACCCGCGGTATATCCTCCGGCCCGAGGCGATTGAGAGTGTCTTTGTGCTCTACCGCATCACGGGCGACCAGGGATTCCAAGAGGCGGCCTGGGAGATGTGGAAGGCTGTGAGTAACGGGACGCTCGTCGAGCACGGCAATGCTGCGGTGTTGGATGTTACGCAGAAGCAGGATCCGCTGCCCA